TATATTTTCATAATATTTTCTCTTTAAAGAGCTATATAATATCAATATATAATCTAAAATCATATATATATATATATATATATATATACATATACAAAATGTTCTGCCTCGTCTCGCTAACCTTTACATACTTTAACATATATATATATATATATATATATATATATATATATATATATATATAAACATTTCAAGCTTTTTTTTTAATTGTAGACAGTATTTATTTCATCTTCGGTTTACTTATTCGAGAAAAATTATTAAAAGAAATGTGTCCAACAGAATTTGAACCTGCTACCTCCTTTGCAGAGGAAGCCATCTGGCACACATAGCCACTGAGATCTTCCCACTCAAGTAAGGTTTTATTTTCCCTTAAAGCACATTCACTCATTCAGATTTTCTTGAGGAAACATATTGGCTCAGTTTCGTATCCAAAATATGAACAAATCAATTTCTAAAGAATTAATGTTTGTTTTTTTTTTTTAATCCGACATATTTTTATTACTCCAAACGTAATTATTTAGTGCCTATCCATATTTGAAATAGACGTCCCATATTTCATTAATCAGAGCATTTTATTTTAAAAAGGATGTATTTCGTCTACCGGCTTGCACCCTCAAGAAAATAAGTTTTCTTTAATAATTTTTATCGAGTGTGCGGGTCGGTATACGAAATTGATATGTTTAAACTAAAAGAGAGCGTTTATTCAAGTATGGGTATCCACTAACAATAACATTTGAAGTCATTATTCATTAATAAAATTTGAAGTTAATAATGTTTCAAATAACATTAAAAATAACGTCCAGTAGAGTGACTCATTGGATCTTTTTCGGGCTAACGTTTATTGCTGACATGAAGTGGAAAGATTATATTGAATCAGTTGCTAGTTCTACTGCTGGTTCACTGTCATGCTAAACAATTTTTCTGACCACAATTCAACCGTTCATTCATACATTGAATATTGCTGCCATATCTGATCTTGTGCTTCTGGTATATACCGGCTGTAACAGCAAATTTGTCCAAATCGTACACAGCAAAATTGTCTAATTGTTAGATTAAGCTTTGAACTGTTGTATCATTGAAATGGTTAAAGATATCTTACTGGAATTCTCTGAGGTTTTTATAAAACTATTGGACTTTACTTTGAACGATAAGAATGTATTTAGCTCTAAGTTGAAATGATGATCCCTCTTCCTGTTGTGACCTCTTGATCCAGTTTTCCTCTCTACTGTTCCCTCTTTTTTAAGCGTATTCACCGTTCTCTTGATAGTTCTTGAATGAACTTTGAAGATGGAAGCCAGAGTACGAATGCTGGTACCATTACTGAAGACCTGAATGATCTTTTTCGTCTCATCAATTGGGAATCTATGGGGCTGACAGAAAGCTATTATAACCTGTTCCCTTTTCTAGATGAATAACTCAAAGGGTTTTTCACCGATTCTTACAACAAATGGTGTCAAGATGGCTAAATATCTTATCTGAATACTTGGAAAAAAAGAAACTTAAAGAAACTTAATTAGTTTAGTGGTTAAATGATTAAAGGAAAAAGTAGTAAAAGTATGTTGGAATAAATATTTAAAACCAATTAAAATTAATTCTTTAGCAATGTATATAAAATGCTAACCATAATTTTTATTTTTTTCATGTAGAAAAAAATCTGGTGCTAATTTTAAAGGAAGAAGAAAATCTCATGATAAATATAAATTTTTAAGGTTTTTTTGTTGCATATCATGGAATGATGAATTTTTTTATCATTTTAATTTTTTTATTATTTTCATTTGTATCTAATGTGTTTCTTATCATTCTCTGCTGAAAGCTGACCAAACTTTGTCTACTGTTTTTAATGTTTGTCCTTTTCTGAAAAACTTGCCCCAATTTTCTTTTCAACAGTATCATAATAATAATAATAATAATAATAAAAATTATAATAAGTTAATAATAATAATAATAAGTATAATAATAATAATAATAACTTAATAATAATAATAAGCGTAGTAATAATAATAAGTATAATAATAATAATAATAAGTTAATAATAAGTTAATAATAATAAGTTAATAATAATAATAAGTTAATAATAATAATAAGTATAATAATAATAAGAAATCAATAATAGTAAGTTAATAATAATAAGTATAAGAAGAAGTCAATAATAATAAGTTTAATAATAATAAGTATAATAAGTATAATAATAATAAGTTAATAATAAAAAATGTTAATAATAATAAAATGTTAATAATAATAATAAATAATAAGTATAATAATAATAAGTTAATAATAATAATAAGTATAATAATAAGTTAATAATAATAATAAGTATAATGATAAGAAGAAGTCAATAATAATAAGTTAATAATAATAATAAGTATAATAATAATAAGTTAATAATAATAATAATAATAATTATAGTAATAATAATCATAATAATAATAATAAGTTAATAATAATAATAAGTATGATAATAATAAATTAATAATATCAGATAAGAAAACAAAACTAAATC